AATAAAATAATAATATCTTCAAGTTGCTTCTGCATTGTTGTAGGATTGGAATTATTTCTTATAACCCTAAGGTATTGTGCCTTGGGTAATGACGCCTTTAATACTAGTCGCATGTAATATTATGCTTCTGTCCGTAGGTTTGGTATACAAGCTATATACTACTTGGTGATCTACTACTGAGACTTCTAGGTCTAGATATTGCACTTTTTCCGTGGATATATTTGCTGTTAATCTAATAGGTGTTGATGGTGTTTAAATATTGTACCATGCCCAGTGCTTCCTCTAGGTTGCCCTCCCAGAATATTAGCACGTCATCAATGTATCGATAGTATCAATTTATTTTTGCTGAATATTTTGACAGAATATGTTGTACTTCATACGGATACATATAGGCATTGGCATACATTGGTGCCATGGCTGCCCCCATTGATGTGCCTGCTTTTTATATGTACCAGTCCTGTTCAAAACAGAAATAGTTGTTTCGTAATGTAAGTGCGAGTAGTTCCAATGTGTATTCGATGGGGGGGTCCCTCATAAAGTGCAGAGTGTAATGAAATCTCTTTTATTGCCTCAATGCGGTATCACTGTGTACAGGTTCTTGACATCCAATGTCATTAGAATCGGTTTATCCATCTTAAAGTTAGGTCGTTGAATCCTTTCCAACAAGGTAGAAGTGTACTTTATACATGTTGTAAGTTTTTCAATATGTTTTTTTAAAAAGGCTGTGTAGCCACTTTGCAATTGGCTCCAAAATTCCATTTAAGGCTGACACTATTGGCCGGCCTGATGGATGTATGGGACCTTTAGGTACTTTAGGAATACTGTATATGACTGGTGTCCATGGGTGCTCTTTATTCAAGTACTGGTATAGCTTTAAGTCAATATAGCCTGCCTTCAATCCTGTAGTGAGGACATCTTCAATCTTCAATTTCCCACATGTATGTATTGGTGTCTGATAATTGTGTTCTTAAGACTTCTATCTTTTATCCTTGATGTGAATAACAAAAGTTACATTTTTAACGGAGACTGTGAGTGCAGACCATCACTTGGGATTTTGTATATTGATGACCTGGATCCAGCACCCAGCATGTAAGACATTTGAACATAAAGCCTGCAGGGCAAGGAACTTTGGGATGTATATATACACACATACATACATACATACATACACACACGCACACACACAGGTCAGCCACAAGATTAAAACCACCTGCCTAATATTGTGTAGGTCCCCTAATAATAGTAATAATAATAGCAGATGCTGCAAAACAGAGTAATTCCCTTATACCCCTAGAATACAAGCATAAACAAAAATAAAAAAAAATAAAGCCACAGGTTGCACCAAATAAAAATTATGAAAAAAGTTCAACCGGATATTGGCATCTTATCTATCTACAAACACATATATATATATATATATATATATATAAAACAAGAGGGGGTTGGCTGCACTCACCTTAACATGCATAAATGGGGGTGCTGCTGGGGGCCAAATAATACAATACACAAGACCCCCATTTATGCATGTTAAGGTGAGTGCAGCCAACCCCCTCTTGTTTTATATATATTTGGGAGTCTAGCCAACTCCTTGGTTTTGCACCCCTCCCTGTCACAGGTGCCTCATCCCAGGGCCCTATTTAGCCTTGTACCGCAGAGAGCCCCAGATGGAATTTATTTCCCCAAGTAGGTTAATCTCATAAGAGCAGACATTAGGCTGTTAGTGTAGGACCTGCCAAAGATGGGGTACATTGACGCTGTGGCAGGCTTATGCAATGTATGATCATATAATGTAACTAAACCCCCATTATTTTTGCCTAGATTAGGTGTTTTTAAAAAAAACAAATAAAATCTTTCAACTTTGAAGTTGCTGTTTAGTGGATAGGTGAGTGCGCTGGATCTTGTGTATTATATATATATATATATATATATATGTGTGTGTTTGTAGATAGATAGATAAGATGCCAATATCCGGTTGAACTTTTTTCATAATTTTTATTTGGTGCAACCTGTGGCTTTATTTTTTTTTAATTTTTGTTTATGCGTGTATTCTAGGGGTGTAAGGGGTATAAATGTTTCTGCTTGTATCCTATGTACAGTATCTCACAAAAGTGAGTACACCCCTCACATTTTTGTAAATATTTTTTCTTTTCATGTGACAACACTGAAGAAATGACACTCTGCTAGAATGTAAAGTAGTAAGTGTACAGCCTGCATAACAGTGTACATTTGCTGTCCCCTCAAAATACCTCAACACACAGGCCATTAATGTCTAAACCGTTGGCAGCAAATGTGAGTACACCCCTAAAATGGAAATGTCCAAATTTGGCCCAATTAGCCATTTTCCCTCCCCAGTGTCATGTGACTCATCAGGGTTACAAGGTCTCAGGTGTGAATGGGGAGCAGGTTTGTTAAATTTGTTGTTATCGCGCTCTCACTTTCTCATAATGGTCACTGAAAGTTCAACATGGCACCTCATGGCAAAGAACTCTCTGAAGACCTGAAAAAAAGAATGTTGCTCTACATAAAGATGGCCTAGGCTATAAGAAGATTGTCAAGACCCTGAAACGGAGCTGCAGCACGGTGGGCAAGACCATACAGTGGTTTTACAGGACAGGTTCCACTCAGAACAGGCCTCGCCATGGTCGACCAAAGAAGTTGAGTGCACATGCTCAGCGTCATATCCAGAGGCTGTCTCTGGGAAATAAACATGTAAGTGCTGCCAACATTGCTGCAGATGTTGAAGGGATTGGGGGTCATACGCCGCACGCTGCATCAAATTGGTCTGCGTGGTTGTTGTCTCAGAAGAAGTCCCAGAAGAAGCCTCTTCTAAAGATGATGCACAAGAAAGCCCGCAAACAGTTTGCTGAAGACAAGCAGACTAGGGACATGGATTACTGGAAATAAGATAAACTTATTTGGTTCAAATGGTGTCAAGCATGTGGCAGCAACCAGGTGAGGAGTACAAAGGCAAGTATGTCTTGCCTACAGTCAAGCATGGTGGTGGGAGTGTCATGGTCTGGGCCTGCATGAGTTCTGCAGGCATTAGGGTGCAACAGTTCATTGAGGGAACCATGAATGCCAACATTGAGGGAACCATGAATGCCAACATACTGAAGCAGAGCATGATCCCCTCCGTTTGGAGACTTTGCCACAGGGCAGTATTCCAACATGATAACGACCCCAAACACACCTCCAAGACAACCACTGCCTTGCTAAAGAAGCTGAAGGTAAAGGTGATGAACTGGCCAAGCATGTCTCCAGATCTAAACCCTATTGATCTGTGGGGCATTCTCAAACGGAAGGTGGGGGAGCGCAAGGTCTCTTACATCCACCAACTCTGTGATGTCGTCATGGAGGAGTGGAAGAGGACTCCAGTGGCAAACTGTGAAGCTCTGGTGAACTCCATACCCATGAGGGTTAAGGCAGTGCTGGAAAATATTGGTGGCCACACAAAATATTGACACTTTGGGCCTAATTTGGACATTTCCACTAAGGGGTGTACTCACTTTTGTTGCCAACGGTTTAATGGCTGTGTGTTGAATTATTTTGAGGGGACAGCTAATTTACTCTGTTACACAGGCTATACACTTACTAATTTACATTCTAGCAGATTGTTGTATAAGCACTTATTTCTTCAGTGTTGTCACATGAAAAGATATAATAAAATAATTATAAAAATGTGAGGGGTGTACTCACTTTTCTAAGATACTATATATAGTTATAACAATGATAAACAGAAATCTGCACACTAGTCAAGCTATAAGGCTTGCTTTTACCACAGTAATCACAAATCTGCAGTGATGTTACTACCGCAAAGGATTCTGGGTGGGCATATGCAAATTAGTTTAAAAAAAATCAAATTTTTGCTTCATTCCATTTTAAACATGGATTCCTGGAGCTGTATACAACAGCTTTGAAACACAATTTATGAAAAGATGTAAAATTAGTGAACCACTCATGGACAGCTGTTTCATTGTTAATGGAAAAACATCAGCATGAGGTTGGTTACTGGTTGGCTTCCCTCTACTGGTCACTTCATTTGTGAAAAAAATTCAACATTTAGTGGCTGTCCCCTAGCCATTAGAGTTGAGCAGACACTTGGATGTTCGGGTCCGGCGCGTTCGGCCAAACTTTGAAAAAAAAGTCTTGGTTCGTGATCGAACTTGACCCCGAATCCCATTGAAGTCAATGGGTTTCCTGAACTTTTGGCTACTAAAATGCCTTTTAAAAAGTCCTGTTAAGGGCCAGAGGGCTGCAAAGGGAAGTAAAATGGGGGTAAGAGTAGGACAAGTGCCCCGCAAACAAATGTGGATAGGGAAATCACTTAAAATAACATAAAAACTAAAAATACAGCTGAGCCATAAAATAGCACTAGATGGAATCTTTGATTTTAACTTTGGAAGAACATAAATCAAAATCTAAAGCATGGCTGTCAGGAGGATCACCAGAATTATCCATTTGAAAGAGAGTGCAGGGTATTCTCTTTCATTCTTCAGACTGAGCTCAACTACTGATGCATGGAAAAAAGGCCTCCATAAGCCGCTGCTATTGTGTACATAGTTTATACTAAGTGACCCATAGGTTGAGGAGGCGGTGACCGTGGCGGTGTAGGTGGAAGCGGCGGTGAAGGAGGAGGAGGTAGCCAACACTGTTTATATATATCTATTTTTTTATTTTAATTAGGGTAGCCCTCAAAACATTGGGACATATAAAAAAAGAAAACTGTTCCGCAGAGCGACTGACCTGTGCGTGCTGCATCTGAAACTCCACTATCGCCTGCTGCTGCTTGCAGAGTCTCATGAGGAGGTGAGCAGGAAGGCCTAAGTTGTGTTGCAGCGCAGACAGGCGTGCAGCAGCAGGGTGAGAACGCCAAAAGCGCGCACAGACGGCCCGCACTTTCTGCAGCAGCTCTGATATATCTGGGTATACACCGTGGCATCACAAGGGCCACCTTGAACTGGCTCAACTCCCATCAAGCCAAGTTCCCGGAGGAGATCACCCAGCTCGTCATGCTAGAGCACTTTTTCAATGTGCTCCCTAACGAGAAGGTGACAACGCATTCGTATGTCAATCCATATCAACTGCGCCTACCATGGTGACCACGGGTAACGGGGAATCAGGGTTCGATTCCGTACAGGGACCCTGACAAATGGCTACCACATGCAAAGAAGTCAGCAGGCGCAAATGACCCACTCAAGACACGGGAAGGTAGTGACAACAAATAACAATACAGGACTCGTAAGAAGCCCTGTAATTGCAATGAATCCACTTGAAATCCTTTACCTCTGATCAATTGGAGGGAAGTCTGGTGCAGAGCCACTGACCCGTGCGTGCTGCAGCTGAAACTCCACTATCGCCTGCTGCTACTCAAACAGTTTCTCCAGCATGTGCAAGGTGTAGTTCCACCTTGTGGGCATGTCGCACATGAGGCAGTTAGCGGGAAGGTTACACTGCAGCACAAACAGGCGAGCAGAAGCAGGGTGAGAACGCCGGAAGCGCGCACAGCCGCTACAATGAATGTCACATCCTGTTCCAAGTTGCGGATCAGTCTGGTGATGGCTTCTGGCATCCAGTACTCTTTTTACTGAAGCTGCATCAGGGTCCTGGTAGGTGGCCGCACAAATGCTGGTGCTCAACACCAGGGGGCATGCGGTTACCCACCACCAGGCCCTACTAATCCATTCCACACTGTGACTCCTAACTTCTACATCAGGCATACTGGGTCCCGGTCGTCTGACCGCCGCCCAGACAGTGTCTGGGTCCCGGTCACCAGACTACAAAACTGCGAATGGCTTGTTAAACCTGTTATAGCTCTTTTTATCGCTTCAACTGTTACTTGGATAACTGTGGGAATTCTAAAGATAATACATGCCGATGAGCGCTAGGGGACGGCCGCTCCGCTTTTGCACCCTGCTCCCTCTTATGCTGTGCTGGTGCCTTTGTGCGACCAGTGCCTCTTCCTCCAAACTGCACAGGTCACTCGCATGACCTTGATTCCATGTGGGGTCTAGGACCTCATCATCCTTCACATCGTCTTCCACCCACTCCACAACCCTGCCCTCCTTGCCGGTATGCACACTGCAGAAAGCCACAGCAGTTGGCACCTGTGTAAAGTCTGCAAAGGACATATGGAAATTGTTTTAGAACTGTATCAAGGCAACAGTTTTCCCTATAAGCTGACCTCTCAGTTTGACTTGTGAGGGTATTGCCCCAGAATTACAATATTGTTTAAGTACCTCTTAGCTATTGATAACTGGTTTAAATATAGCAGCTTGTTATCTGGTAGTTTCTAGTGTAGAAAATATCAATCTGTTTTCTGTCACTTAGATCTGTGTAACAAGTGTTGTAGGTGTGAAACAATATTACAAGTGACCGATGTAGTAAATTTGAATCAAAATTACGCTTCGATTTGACTCTCAGATATGAAGAGCAGGCCCCAAAGTGAACTATTTAGCAGATTAGCAGCAAAACAATTAGAATGTTTAAAAGTGTGCTGTAACCGCAGTATTTGACGCTTCTATTTGACTCTCACATATAAAGTGCACACCCCAAAATGTACTATTTAGCAGATTAGCACCCAGAAAATTAGAATGTTTACAACTGCGCTGTAAGCGCACTATTAGACACTTCTATTTGACTCTCAGATATGACATGCTCGCCCCAAAATGTACTATTTAGCAGATTAGCATTAAAACAATTAGAATATTTACAACTGCGCTGTAAGCGCACTATTAGACGCTTTGATTTGACTTTCAGATTTAAAGAGCAGGCCCCAAAATGTACTATTTAGCAGATTAGCAGCAAAACAATTAGAATGTTTACAAGTGCGCTGTAACCGCACTATTTGACTCTCAGATATGACCTGCACGCCCCAAAATGTACTATTTAGCAGATAAGCACCCAGAAAATTAGAATTTTTACAAGTGTGCTGTAAGCGCACTATTAGATGCTTCGATTTGACTCTGATATGAAGAGCATGCCCAAAATGTACTATTTAGCAGATTTTCACCCAGAAAATTTGAATGTTTACAACTGCGCTGTCAGCGCACTATTAGATGCTTCGATTTGACTCTGAGATATGAAGTGCACACCCCAAATGTACTATTTATCAGATTAGCACCCAGAAAATTTGAATTTTTGCAAGTGCGCTGTAAGCGCACTATTAGACGCTTCGATTTGACTCTCAGATATGAGACTATTTAGCAGATTAGCAGCAAAACAATTAGAATGTTTACAACTGCACTGTAAGCGCACTATTTAACGCTTCGATTTGACTCTCAGATATGAAATGAACCCCACTAAAATACTATTTTGCAGTTTAGTACCCCAAAAATTTACTTTTTAAAACTCCGATGTAACCGCGGTATTTGACGCTTCTATTTGACTCTCAGATATGAAGTGCACCCCACTAATGTACTAGTTTGCATAATTATTTCCTATGCTGTCCCTCACAGCGGCAGCATCCTCTCCCTACCTTATGTGTGTGCAGCGCTGCGCGACTCCAGAATATATATAAACAGGCTGTGTCACATGCTGCACTGGCCAATCACAGCCACGCCATCAGTAGGCATGGCTGTGATGGTTTCTAACGGCACACGAGTCAAACGCTTGTTGATTGGCTGCCCTGCAGCCTTTGAAAACGAGCCATTAAGACGCCGAACTCCAACCCAAACATATAGTGATATGTCCGTGTTCGGGTCTGGGGACTTTACAGTCCAGGTTCATCAACTCTGCTAGCCATCAATCAACCATTCATTTATTTTTACGCCACGTGCAGAAATCTGAATACCTAATTGAACAAACATGTTGTATGCATGTATTTGTAGTGTTAAGTTATTGGTATGAAATAACATTTGTATTTCAGTATGCTGACCCAAATCTCCCTCTACAGGTTTCATGACATTCTAGGAGAAGGATCTGAGTCAGCCCTCATTAAGCTCCATTGCAAACACTATTGTGTCCTAGCCTGCAAACCATCAGGAAACTGGAGAAATAATGGATTGGAGAACTAAAAAAGCAAAAGATGGTGTAGCATGTGTCTACAATAAAATCTTACAGGGGTAAGCAACCTTCAGCACTCCAGATGTTGTAAACTACATCTCACTTGATGCTTTGCCAGCTTATGGTTATAAATGTATATTGGGCGATATATGTAGATAACACCTGGAATGCCGAACGTTGCCTACTCATGGTCTACACTTTTTCACCTTTCTCTTATATTCCAAGTTGTGTGATATATTTAAAGCTCAACTTCAGGAAAAGGAACATTCAATATATTAATACCATTATTTTGCTGCCACAGTATAATATTCCATCACACCAGGAATGTGGACATGTAAGCAGGATGATTTCTCCAAATATTTTTGGGTAATACATTTTAAAAATCCAGTAAATGAATCTGTGGATGTCTATGGATACCAACCCTCAGTAACATCCATGTGCTTTTGTTGCTTTTGGGAAAGTTCTCTTGTTTACTGCATATGTAAAATGTATGTTTAATTGAATAAAACTTGCAGTAAAATGTATGTAATACACTACATGTTTCTATAACCTTTAAATAAATATGATCTTGATCTTGTTTGAAAGCTATGCCTTACTAGATAAGTAGATATAAAGTGGTATGTCTTTAATTCAAGGCTAAAATAGGACAGCTGCCCTGGGTAATTCAGCAGGGCATCTGGCAAATGAGGTTTCTTATTGGCCTAAATAAATTTGGTTATCAGGGTACATAAAATGGTATAAAAAAATCTTGTAACAAGCAGTGTGAATATAAGAGCAGCAGGTGGGCTGTATACAGGATGTAACATGCAGTCTGGATGTAACAGCAGATATTTGCTTTATAACTGGTATTTGGTTTCATCAACTGTTACACCTGCAGACCACCGTCCAAAGAATACTAGGTGGGGATTATATCAACCATACTTGATACATAGAGTGGTAATTTTATTGTAAGTACATTTTCATTTATTATTTATATCTACTCATATGGAGAGCACTGTCGTCTCTTCCTTACTGTCCTATATGGTACGCCTCACTGGTACCCCGTTCTAAACTTTCACTAGAGGGATATCCTACAAGTATGAATTAAAAAACACTGTATGCTAGAGCTGGTTTAAGCTCACATTGCCAGTGATGGGCAATTGTGGGTATAATACACATTGCTACATTGTATTTCTTTAAACTGCAACTGCTTCTTTAACTAATAACCTTTTACCTATTTACAGTACACAACATGTTTACTCCATCTTGTCTTAATTTAATGCAATAACAATTCAAGGCTTTGCCTAGGTCATCCTAACGTCTAGTCCAAATAAAGATTAAAGATGTCTAGGTTATGACATTAGACTGATAAGGGTGTTATTTCCTTTATTTTTATATATGAACTGCTTTTAACCCTAAGATGAATTAACCCACCCATACATTACCAGTAGTAATTAGAAATGCTATACTATATATACATGCATGATCAATGCTAGGTAGAGACATACTGACCGACTCTGGAGGTGACATACTGAGAGATTACCTGTATAATCAGGAGGGTATGTTATACTAATTATATTGCAAGCATTTATTCATTTAATTTTATATATTCTGCTTTATGATATATTAATGGATCTTTATTCATTTATTCAATAAACTATATTAATAAGACAAAAGTTATTGCTTCCAACTCCTATTTTTATTGTATTCTCAATTATTTATGTATTTTAAATAGAGAAACTCTATACCGACTATACAATATTTAGCTAAGATATCTGTATGGTTAGCCCTGCTAAATTTTAAGTTATAAGACGTTATAGCGGTAAATTGGAGTACGAACGGTTACAAATAAATTAGAGTTTTAAATTGGACTTAAGTGTCATATGTGATTTGAGAGACATATTGCACTATTCATTTTCCCAGTTTTTTTTCTGCTCTCTAACATACGCTGTCATATTGTGAAGCCAGTCTAAGAGCATTATACAGAAATTAGATACAAGAAGGATTGCTAGTCTTGAACTGTGTCCTAAACTGCATCTGGATATCTGGTATAACATCTAGGTTGAACAATAGGTTGAAGAGGACCCTGCTCAAACAAGCTTACAGTCTAGATAAACTATAATCCAACACAGCCATCATTTTAATATTTTGTCATTTATTATTATAATGAAATGCTACTGAAGGCAATGTTCAAGTTAGTTCTTAGACTTAAGTCTAGTTAAGCAATCAATAGTT